ATTACTCTGTTGGTTGAGCTTGTTACGGGCCGTTAAAAGTACCTACCATGCATGATGCATCATAAGCGGTTATTATTTGAAAGTTATTAAAAATAGATAAGCGCAGCTACGCAGCTGAATCGTGGGAAGCATCCACGTATAAGTAAAGGGGAGGACCAAGCAGGAATGAACGAAAAACCGGCTCTATCTACCATGCTACATGTTCCATAAAACGTAAAAAAAGCAATATAAGCGTAACTAGCTAACATTCATCATTGATAATTATGTTTTCCTAGTATTTGACAACACACAAACGAAAGTGAAAACTGGCATTACGTTCAATACCTGTATCTATATATATTTATTAAAAATGTAAATGGTGTAATCATGAAAAATAGTGAGCGATGATTATAATATACATGATCTAGCGTTACTATGATTATCATTACTTCGTGTTTACAGCACCTTATCTAAACTGTCGTCATTATCTATAGTGATAACATGCCCTGATTACGTTTGTAAAAATGTAAAGAATGTTTCATGTAGGTATACAATATGAAGGAAACTGAAACACAATTTGCGAGTTTTTTAACTAACCTGCTATCCTCAAAACGGCACGGTCTGCCGGATCCAGTTGCAGAATGGACAAAGGCTTGTCCTTCGCCCATTCTTTCAAGCTGAAATCGTTTTCGAATTCCATGTTTTTGTCATCCAAAACAAGCAGTCTTGCGCGAACTCTCGCACATAATTGAATCAAAACACGGCACAACACTAGCTTCGAATAATGCACATTATATTATTTACGTTAGGCTTTCACAAAAATAAAAGGTAAACAAAACGTTACGCTCATTGCAAAATAAAAAAAAATCGATAAAACGTACAAACACACTAAAGATACGGTTACTCCTATCTAGAATTTGTTATTGTTTTTATGTTTAAACCACTAAATAACACTCTCAGTAAACTTTAGCAACGTAAACTTAAATAAAAAGGTTCTAAATTCAAAAGGACGGAGTGACAACAGTGTTTTAGGTTATCAAATTCACCGCTCATATCTCATATACACCAAGCCGGCAGGTAGATATTGATGCGACTGCCTAGTTCCCGATTATGCCACCACACCACTGTCGCTAATTTCGCACAGCTGTTTTGAGTTTTGACCGCGCACGCAGCGCATGCTCTCAAGTCGTAACTCTCATTTGTCTTTATTAAACGACCAACTTGGAATGACTTACAAAATCAATAAAAGAAGAGATGAAAAATGAACATATTATTTTATTTTGCCGTTCGTCTACCATACATTCGTGTTTTCAAGAGCTTCCATAATAGCATAAATAGTTTATAGACATCAACTGCCATCTAGTAATCTAGTAACATGACAATAAATCAAAGCAGATTTTTTTAATTCATTGTGGAATTGGCTATAAGGCCTTCGGCCAATAGAGATATAATAAATCAATGTAATATTTTAACCAATATAAAATGATTATGTTACTTTTCTCCAAAAAATGATTTCATAAAATGATTATCACTTTTACGCTATCTACAATCTGGCTTAATTTAGTTTTGTCGGGAACTTGGCTCCGGTAAATAACTGTTATTTTTGAACACAATAATTGTAGTTTTACATCAAATTACTGAGTTTATACTGCATTTATTTTAATACTGATCGGCATATTTCCTCAATCTCCTAGTAACAATATAAACTTTAAGCTTTTTATGTTTCATTTATTTCGCAACAATCATTTATAAAGACCCTTAAGCCGGCCACATACATACGGAATTCCGTTTCAGAATTTCAATATGAGATTTCGAACGAAGCAAGTATGTACGGTAGTTTTCCGTTCGAAATTTAGCGGCCAAAATGGGATTCCGAATGTATGGGGCGGGCCTTAGAGTACTTATAAGCAAGCTATTATTATTTATTACATTCTAAGTCATGAACATAGTATTGCATCAAAATATCGATAAACATCATAGAATTAAAATCATTCAAAGTTACATATTCACAGCACTATATTTTTTAATAATAATTAATATTTTAATTCATTTAAGCTGTCAGCGTTGTTTAACAATATTAAAATAAATCATGTCTTGATGTTGGTAAATTAAACTGGTTTTCTTTTATTATTTATTTAATTTATACTCAACCAAATCTAAGAAATACGTTTTGACAGCTGTCAGACTTATTGGACTAGGCGTACCAACAAAAAATCGGTACGTACAATATTCGATTCTTTAGAAAAATCGATATCAATACTTTAGAGTTGGTAATCATTTACAGTTTTGTTTCGATTAATACCAGAATATATTAGAAACGGATAATTTAAAACACAAGAATTATTAGTTTCTTCGTATTTATTATTACTGCTTATATCTAGAGGCAAAATTGTATAAAATTATAATTTGAAATCAGATTAAAAATAAATATATTACTCAGGCACTTTTTCTACAACTAGTTGAGCTGTCGTTATTTAGATTAATTATTATTGGATTTTCAAGAATTTATCAAAATTAATGTTCTTTCAAAGTCATCCATAATAATTTTCTTTGTTTTCTCCACCACTTTTGCTAATAGTGTAATTGTTTTTAATTTTACAAATGGCTGCGTAAGTCCAGCGGTGATTGGTCGCATGTTTTATCGCATGACGCAGTCGCTCGCTCCTTAAGTAGAGAGCGGTTGCATCATCGTTCTGTATAAAAGGCACTTGTTTTGGCTCGCCGCTCACTTAGCGGTGAGCCACCGTAGAGTCTATATCACCTGAAGATGCCTCGTGTAGAGGCGAAACACGTGTCGTATTATCGTCAGTGGTGTGTCTTGCCTAGTGTAGTGGTGTTGGGAGTAGCGGTGCTGAGATTAGTGGTGACGGGGATAGTGCACGTAATTGAGGAAGGGCGGGAGTTGCTCTTCATACTAGGTAAGACACATCATTTTATTTTATAACGCGGATATTTGCGAAGTTAATTTTTCTAAAAGCTTTTATATAATGGATTTCCGCAAAGTAACGCTTGATTCTATTAATTATATTCACTGCATTTTTGATCAAAATTAATGTTAATTTGTAGTTCAGCCCGGACGTGGTCAATAAACAGCTTATTTCTGCTGACTGTCCATGCATTTCCACAGAGAGCAAACACTCTCTCTGCTGGTTCATTTGAAAGTGGTATCGAAGCTATGGCTAAGGTGTAGTTGGTACGAGATAGATACTAATATCATATAATCACTGATTTCCGGGACAAAAGGCGTCCCGCAAGGGGTTACGGCGGGACGGTCCAAAATTGACCCAGAAGCGGGACGACCCGGAAAATCCGGGACGGTTGGCAAGCTTAGTCACAGCACCACTACAGCATTACTCACAGTTACGGAAGACATTAGACAAGGCATGGAAAAGAATAAAATTACTGTAATGGTGTTTGTTGAATTTTCTAATGCTTGTAACGCAGTGGGCCATGATATCTTTTTATCTATCCTGTCCTATTTAAGATCTTGTATTGGTTCTCAGCCTTGGATTGATTCTCTTCATAACTTCGCGGGCGTCTGCAGTCCGTCCATTTGGGACAGAAGAGTTCCAAGTTGGCTAGTCTTGATGCAGGTGTCTCGCAAGGCGGTATACGTTCTCCATTAATTTTCTTAGTTTTTATAAACTTGATCACATCTATTCTTAACTGTTCGTACCATTTGTATGTTGACGACCTCCAAATTTACTTGCATTTATCTATTGAAAAGCTCCATGACGCTATTAGAATGTTAAATCTGAACGTGGAAGCTGTTAAAGAATGTTCTAGGCATTTTGGAATATCAGTTAATCCAACGAAGTGTCGAACTATAATCGTAGGTAGCTCAAGAATGTTGTCCAAAATTGATGTGCCAAGCTACTATTACAGTGATATACTGATAAAGTTCTCTTCCTCTGAAAAAACCTTGGCCTGTGTATGAATAACATATATGATATATATATATATATATATATATATATATATATATATATATATATATATATATATATGTATTTGCACTTGCCACAAAATCTCGTCACTCCACGGGTTGACTGGTAGAGAATGCCGTTAGACATTAAGCCCGGCCTTTGTTACCCTTGTTACTAAGGTCAACAAACAAGATTAAATAAAAATTTTTTTTTGAGCAAGTCTATATTTAATAAGGAAGCCTCTTTACTCTCGCTCTAGCCAGGAGTACCTAATCCTCTATTTACGGGTACGAGTTTTGGCGGGAACTTGACCGGCGGCGGTTTGCTGCTCCTGTATTATTGTTTAAATAATGGTTTGAAGAGTATTTTGATATGTATAGTGTTGCCATTTTGTGTCTGCGCAAGTTAACTATTAATGGAAACGATGAAATAAGTGCTCTGATGGTGATGTGATTCTCAAGATAATGTGTCTTGAGATACCATCGCCAACTGTCAGCTGCCTGCTGGCTCAAGCTTCCGTCAAAATCTCCCAAAGGCTGCACAATGTGACGCATTAACATATTGTGAAGCAGTGTACTAAGAAGGATAATTATACATTGTAACTTCAGGCTCAGAAGGACTAGAACCCAGAGCCGTAAAGCCAGTTATAAAAAAAAACCAACGGGTACGTAGTACGCACAAACTATATAGAAACACTACGCGGTAAATTTTTATTTCCCTACGATACGACGTACTACTATTTTTATACTAAAAAACTACATGTTATATTTTAAATTATTATTATATATTTTTATACTAATTTTTATACTAATTTTTATACTAATTTTTATACTAAAAGTTACCCAATCCTAATTAGTTGAAGTAATATCGAACTATTTTTTATTTCTAAACTACATGGGTGTAGTTTAAATAATTAATATTTTTAGATGTGCTATTTAAAATACGTCTGCCATTATTTTTTTTTATATATATATACTCCAAATTCATAGGCTGGGGTGGAGGGTCTATTATTTTTAATCTGTGCCTTCGGTTTCCATAGTAACAAACAAAACAAAACAACTACAAGCACGCACATGTCAAAGTCAAACATATTTTGTGGTTGTGCTTTTGTGTTCGATGTTCAAGTTCATACTATGTATTATTTTGGATTTAAATCCAATTAAAAAACGAATTATAATAAAGAATAGATAAACTTGTATGTTACAAATACTTTACTTAAACTATTCAAAAAAAATTACCATTACTAACTAATAACCATAATATTATACGGCTTGCAAATACAATGGACTGTTTTGCAGTTTTGTCGATATTTCAATACTTATTTACATTTATTGAATGGCAGGTTGACCTACTAAGATTGGTTTTGTGACCTAAAACTTCCAGTTTGATTCAAATTTTATACAGTGTGGCACGCATCATTATTTGGATACTGATGACACAGTAGTATAAAAAATCCTTACCGAATTATTTCATTTGTTGTTGCGAAATGGCAAAAATGTCTGATATGGCAGTAAAGAAACTGACGGGAAGTTGACAATGGATGATGAATATGTCCATTTTTCCCCAAAAGTATGTACTATGTTTTTAATTAATTATCATTTCAAAGCAATCATAAATTTGAAATTATGATTAATATTCAGACTTATTTTTTAATATATAGTAAATAAATATAATGAAAGAGATCTTTCTTTCTTTCTTTTTTCTTTTTAAAAAACGTTACCACCACACTAGGACTTTCTCCTGTGTCGTGGAGGCAGTTTACAAACATAAATTGCACAAGGACAAACATCCAGACCCGGAACAATTATTTGTAGGCCATACAAATACTTGTTCCATGCGGGATCCGTACCCGCGGCCCCCAGCGCAACAACTGATTGCTAAACCATTGCGCCACGGAGCCATCTGATAATAACTTTCAGCATACATTGGTTATAATACTCACCTCTATTTCATATTTAAAGTTTTGAATCTGGTGGTAGCAATCAGCATTATGGCTTGTAACATTTGATACCTCCTATTATTGTCAATCTGCATGCCAAGTAATAATAGACAACCTTCCCAATATGAGATTGGCAAAGAAACATTAAGATCTTTGGATTATAATTCATAAAATTTTGTTTATTGTTTTAAAGTGGTAGTAGATTAATGGTTAAGGGTACAAACCACAAACTTACAAAAATTGTGGTTTCGAAACCACTGTTCAACTAGTGTCATGAACCAATCCTAACAGAGGCATTTTTAAGCTCATTAATGGGTATATTAGTAATGTTGATAACATTACTAGTATAATAAAAAGTAAAGTTAAGTTATAGCCTTTATGCGTCCCACTTCTGGGCTCAGGTCAGGCAAGTAATCCCCCATGATGCCCTATTGCATGTTGGTGGTTTTCACGTCTGAATTTCTTTTTTATTTCTCACACATGCAGATTTCGTCATAATGTTTTACTTCACCGCCAAGCACATGGTAAATTGGCACTTAAAATTGCTATTAATAATGCTAATGATACCAACGAGCTCTTAGCTCCAGCTACCACTGTTGTTATTTTATATAAGAAACATTTATTAAAATGTTTTAATTATAATACATACAGTACTAACAATGCATTAATTATTATTTTTTAATTCTAGGTGTCTCAATACAATAAAGTAACCAAAAAGTATCCATTTAGGAACAGCCCAGAGAAGTTAACATTTACTGGTAACTTTACATCATGGAATCGGCAATTTTATATATCTAAATCAGAAAAACATAATAGTTTGCGCTTAGACATTTTAAATACAGTGATGAAGAGAACTGAGTCCAGAATGTCACAACAAAAGGCCTTGGAGAATCTTCCAGATGATAATACTTTATATGAGGATCCGAAAGATTTAATAGGTAAAGGTTTATTTTAGATTACTTTGTATGTGTTTAGCAGTGTACTGTGTAGTGGCAGTGAAAGGATATCCACTACTCCATATCAGCCAGTGGGTATCGTAACAGGCGACAGATGGAAACAAATCAAGGAGATGGGCGGCAGCATCTCCCTAATAATAACTAAAAATAAAAAACTGTGGTTGCCAACCCGCTCGCCAAGCGTGGCAACTATGCCAAATATATGCCCCTATGGGGCAATCTATGGGGGAGGGTTCAGCAATGGACTTTAATATGTTTTAACGATTTATTTTTAGTACCAAGGTCAAACAATGGTAAGTAATAATGTAGCCTATTTAAATATATGTATATGTTACAGACAAAGAAAATAATATGCATATTATTTATACTATCCAGTTAGTATATCTACCTAATTTAGACCAAATGGTTATTGGTATCAAATTAATCAAATAATCTATCTATTTTATAAAATATTCAGGTAGACTTGGATAAAGTTATAAAACACTATAAATTTTAGTTCTTTTTTATATAGCTGTCGCAGCCAACTACTATAATTAACCATTTGATTAACAGCCTATTCTTTTTACTAAACGGAATCATTTAACTAGCAGCCTGATTTATGTTCAGCTGATGCTTCTCATACAACATTGCACATATCTTGTAATATCAGCGACAATAAGTAAAGGTGCAGCTGGGATGGCCATTGGACCACCCTAAAGCCACATAAATTTATATAACATAGCACAAAATGCATTAATTAGGCACAGACCAATAATTGTCTTGTTTAATAATATTAATAGGGTGACCTATTAAACATAATTGTGTGTAGTATAGTATGTACTTAGATATTTATTTCCATTAATAGTGAATCGACCAGCAAAACCTCCTCGAAAGCGAAACATGCATGCCAATTCTGGCAAAGAAGCCAAAGTGTTACTCAAGGAGCAAAAGAAGAAACTCGGCAAAAAGTATGAAGGTCTTATTACTGCTCTGATGGATAGATGTGAAGAGAATGTTGTTGCAGTAAGTAGCTTAGCACTCCACAAAATACAATTTTTTACAGGTGTTTATATGTCAATACTTCATCACCAACATCATTATTATTATAACATCCCTTTAAAGATCCATTGCTGAACATAGGCCTCCTCCAAAGAATGCCACAAAGTATGTTCCTAAGCTACCTTCATTGACATCCTGTGTGTCTCACCAGGAAGTCACCCTGTATAGTTGAGGCTGTCCCACACACCACTTACTAGAACGAGGTTGCCATTCGAAACTCTTTGTTAGGAATTGTATCACGTTGATAAATTCAGAGCATAGCCTTCCCCATAACTAGCTGAAATCTAAAGTTTTCATATATAGCCAGTAGTCACTTACCATCAGGTGAGCCGAGTGCACGTTGCCTCCTCTCATTAAAATAAAATAGTTAAAAACCACATCACAGATTCATAATTATATCTTTTATACTTAGTATACAATTTTTTTAGGTATTCCAATTACCAAACCATTTTAAGGAGTTTGGTGCTTTATGTTTGTCGACATTCAATTTCAAGAATACAAGTACTAAGAATTAATAAAATTAAAATGACTTGATATCTTAGGGATTATTGTCTATGATGGTATGTAGAGGCGGTGACAACCTGAGGGTGTCGTAAGAGGTGACACAGGAAAATGAAACAGAAGGGCAGCAGCATTTTCCTGGTAACAATTCAAAATAATTAAAAACTCCGGTTGCCAACCTGCCTGCCAAGGGTGTCAACTATGGCAAATTTTCCCCCAATGAGACAATCTACAAGGGAGGATTATGATATGAATGAATGAAAATTGTCAATGAGTATTTGCTCAAATACTTTTCTGTTCTCTTTAATCACCATCCCCATAATTTTTGTTCCACCACAAATTTTGTTCCAATGTTGCACATAATTTTTTCCAAAGTATGGCATGCATGTGACCCATTACATCCAAAGATTTCCTGCACATTGAGACATTATGTTGCTTCTTGAAATTGCTTATAATTAAAAATATATATATTCTTTATAGATATCTGAAAAAGATGCACACATAGCAAAATTGAAAGAAAAACTAAAAGCTGTCTTAGAATACAATAAACTTTTCGCCGGTGAAAATGACCGTCTCAAGTGCGAACACGCAACTCTAGTCAAGTACGCAGAAGAGTGTAAAAGAGTGATTAAAGAAGAAAGGGAGAGGAACGCCGATTTGCAGAGCAAATGTAAGAATTTGCAGGAGAGAGTGAAACAATTTGAAATACCCGATAAAGGTAAACTTAGAAATTGTAATTTAGGGTTTTTTTCAGAGCAGATGCAGTTAATCTTTTCTCCATCCTTACAAGTCGCGGCACGTAAGTCTAGCGCTGAACGAAACGTAGAGGGGACGCGTACGAATTGAATTGCACGAAAGCGACTGGAGAGCCATACAGCGAGTGCGAACGATGCGCACGAGCCAATCAGCGCGACTTATGCGCAATAACGGTCACCGCTAGACTTTCGTGCCACTACTTATATAGTTAAATGACTCGAAAAGTCAGATATTTTGCCTATCATTGGAGCATGTTACATTGTCAATATTATCATGATCCTATCCTGATACTGCGATACAGCCTATTATACTATCAATATTATCACGATATCGTGATAATATTGACAATCCATTAGATTCATGTACTAGAAATATACAATGCGCAGGACGCTCAGCAAAAATAAAAAGTTTGTTATAAAATCCTGTTTGTTAAAAGACACAATAAAAATTTGATAACTTCTGAAAATATTTGTTACAAAGACATTTAAGTAGTATACCTATATATTTAAATCTCTTTGATTCGTTAGTTCTTTTTCTTCTTTCGCTTTGTGACAGTTATCGCGTTGACGACTTTTCTGACACTTACCCTTTTCTTGTCTTTATTTACTTTGTGTTTTGGGCAATGTGTGAATAATAATTTATTTTATAACTTTTCAAGTAATATACCACATTTAAAAAGAAAACTGTTTTCTTTTTCATATTTTTACATTATTATTTGATTCTGAATTATGTTAAAAATTTCAAGTCTCTAACTCATCGGGTAGTTAGTTTCAAATCGATTACTAAATTCCACCTGAACAGACATACACGAAAGCGAGAATAAAAACGTGGTAAAATAAAAAGTTACTGCAGTACCACTTGGCCAAAACAATTAGACGCATGACGGGAATGCGGTTTCGGTGCCCACACCATGCCTCTATCTTCGCGCTTCCCCTAGTGACCAATCACCGTTCCGGTGTTCCCTCCCTAGTTCTAATGACGTCTTAGCTGTCATGCGCCTAATTGTTTTGGTCACGTATTACCAGCCATGTAGTGGCGGCGTAATAAAATCCACTACTACATATTATCCCATAGGAGTCGTAAAAGGTGGCAGAGCGAAACTGAAACAGGACATAGACAACAGCATGTGCCTAATAAGAAAATAATAAAAATTGTAGTTGCTAATCCGCCTGCCAAACGTGGCAACCATGGCGAAATTCACTTAAAAGGTAATCTATTGAGGCCTATTTTTTATAGGATAAGAGTGACAAACGAGCACACAGTTCACCTGATGGTAAGTGGTTGCTGTAACCCATAGACATCTATCCTCGATTACGACTCAAAATGCAGATCAAATGTCACCCGTGAGAACTAAGATGGAATGCCTTAAAATGCGTTCCCCGGTCGAGCCGACCCATTCGTGCTACAACTATACCAGTAATATAGCTACAGCATGGCTCATGGTCTATGTTCAGCAGTGGACTATCGAGAAGCTGAAATTAATGATTTTTTTAGTTGTGGGTCATGGGAATAGAGGAAAGTTTAAGTTGCGTTAATATCCTAAAATATATTTATAATTGGCTTCAATTGGGAGTGCAATCTGAAACCACGGTCACAGAGCAGGATTTTTTTTATTGCTTTGCATTTTTATACTTAATTCCCATCATAAAAAGTTTTATTTCTATTGCAACTAAAATAGATTTAGGACTTTTTGAACAGTATTTGTGATTCGAAAATCGAGTATATTATCAAGGCTTTAAAGTTCACATTTGTATGAATTGCAATAATTTGAAATTCTTCCTGCTCCGCGATCACGCCATACCATGAAACTGTGATATGGAAGCAGCGTAGGAGAATTCATTACCCCATCTCGTCCCATGGATGAGGTTCCCGATAGATAGCGTTAACCACGTGGTACTCTATCGCTTCTATACTCAAGATGGTGACGAGAAGCGGCGTCCGGTTCGAGACATCTCGTGGCCAGTCTGTCCTTTAAGCCTGTTAATTTCGGTAAATCCTTCTAAGTATGGGGAAGGTTCATGTTCAGCAGTAGACGGTGGTTGGTTAGGAAACTGAGAAAATATATCGTAAAATTAAAATCAAATAATGTATTTTTTTTTGTTTTTAGAGCAATCCGAGCCCTCCACAGCCATTCCCCTAGTCGAAGTATGTATGAACTGCAGCAGCAGGCAGATCGTGTTAAACCAAGTCCGCGAACAGAACTCTCGCCTGCAGAAAGATATGCAAGCTCTTAAGGATGTATTGTACAGGTATTGCTGTTCTCCCTAATAGACAATTTTAGAGAATTAAAATCCAGGATTAATTAATTTCTCACTTTACCTGTATTTGGAGATTTTATTTTATCATCATCATTACAACCCTTAGAGAAACACGGACCACCGGTGGACCTTGTTGCTCTATGCAAAACAGTCATAGCGTTTTTCCCCGATATAAAATTGTCTGTCATTTTTTGCGGGGGAAAACTGTGCACACTAAAATAATAGTCTGTCACTGCGAAACTCACTTATAACAATTAAAACAATAAGGTAACAATTTCACACACATATTGATACGTTATAACAGAATAGCTCGATGTCAGCTACAACACGGAATCAGACTTGATCAGTCGCTCTACCGATTTGCATATTGTATGAGGGCGAGTAGTATGTGTTGGTAAACAAATCCGAAACAACACGACCGTTATTATTGTAATTTTTAAGTTTAAAAATAAGTAAAAAGCAATAATGCCATCTTTTTGTAAATTTGACATGACAGATCTATTTTTGCTGCAATAACAATTCAATATTTTTGTAGGAAATCGATTCAACCGCGCAACTAGATTTAGTGAACCACATCCAGTGAGCAGTGCGGGTGCAGCTAGTTTTATTGTACGCCTGCGTATAGGTATTCCCCTCCGATCCACCGCTGGCCCGAGTTGCTCCATGTTAAACGCTATCAAAAGTTCACTGCTGAGTATAGTCCGCACCTAAGATTGCCTTATAGGATATTTGTAGTTGACACGCTTTTTATTTTGCAACCATAGTTTTTTATTTTTTAGTTATAATTAGGGAAACAAGATGCTTGTTCACTTCTTCTGATTTGTTTCCCTTTATCGCCTTTTACGACATCCGCGTGATGATAGGGTGTAGTCGATGTTCTTTCAACGCCACTAAGGCGGCGGTAGGTGACGGTTTTTTTTATTTATATTATTCTTAGCCTGTGCTTAACTACAATCCCACCTGATGGTAAGTTGTGATGTAGCCTAAGTTAGTGAAGCGCACGGACTTCACACAAGCCTATTCACTCTTGACTTGAAGACACCCACATTACACTCGGATGGAAACACAGATGCTGACAACTTACTCCACTCCTTTGCTGTACGCATGATGAACGATGTAGCAAATCGTTTGGTTCGAATGCGTGGTAAGTCAACAACGAATGGGAGCAGACTGGCCGAAAAGTGATTTAGCAGAAATTTTATTTACTTAGGCCGCGTTCACACTAAACGTTTAGTCAGCTGCCTCTCGTGAGTTGCCTACTCGCGTTATTGTGGGCCCTAGTATGAACTTGAAATCAGACTTTATGTTTTGTTCACAATGTGCTGACATTATGGTGTATCTTACAATGCGCTACTGGTGTTAACATAAGGGTGTGCTTGTGTATAGACACATTAACTTTTCGACACTTGCGAATGTATTTCTGCACTGAGTTTTTCCGTATCAAACATAATGAAATACATGTGTCTGTATTCATTGCAATCTTTCAAATAAATAAATGAATTGTCTGCTGGCGCTGGAACCTGATACTCTTTTACGTTCAGCTACGTAATGAATTAGCGTCCCGACACGAAATCATGTAAAAAATCGTCTCTTATTGATATATATGATTTTGTTACTTTCAGGCTAAACGTGCAGCTCTCCCGCTACCAAGAGAAATTACGCAGCAACGCACCAACGTTATCCACAGATAACAAAGCTACGGACAAGTACGAATGCTTGGATTCACTCATCAGACTAGACCACAGACGAGGTGAGAATATTCATGTTGCACCACATGAAAAATGCGACCATCGTCAGAATTGTTGTCTTGTTCATTCGGGATTTATATTCAGATATTTTTTTATGGAATAAAGTCACCTGATAGTAAGTGGATGCTATGGCCCATAGACATCTTCTCTTTATATATTGATTATTAGGAATCAAAATGCAGATGAGCTATCAGCATTATGTACCAGTTACCAGTTAAATGGGTCTCTAAATGGTATTTAGAGGGAATAGAGAAAGGGTAAGCACTAAAAAAAAGCGTGTTGTATTTTATAAGAAAAAACACTAAGTGCGAAGAGGCAATACATACCCTGACTCCGTTAAATTACATTTTAATTAGACTTCAATATGAAAAAAACGTGTTTGGTAAAGTATTTTACAGATAAACAATATTAGAACGTTTTATATAATATTTTGCAGAGTCTGGAACCGAAGATTCTGCAGCAAAGAAAGAAAGTCACGAAGAAAGCCACACGAAACTCGTAGATCTATCCGGACTGCTGAGCGCACAAGCATTAGGTAATTATTATACGTTTTTCTTTTCGGAATTACCAACTTATATTTTCTTAATCCTGTATACTAAGAATGTAATGCCAATCAGCCAAATTACTTATGCATACGACAGACGGACAGACAATACGCGACGGAACTTATTGTTATGAAAACGAATTTTTAATGAAGATTTACCCTTTAACCGTCATTACCTTGACATCACGGGCTATGAACATGCTGTCTGTCATACCCCACTCGCGTAGTTTTATGTAACTGTTCATATATTTCATGATAAATATTAAACAAATTATGTCAACTATTCTTAAAACGAATGACCTGGTCGAAGTAGACGCTGTGGGAGGTGTTTGTTAAAATGTGTTTGTGCGGTCTAACTTTTATTATATGTAATTTGTATGATTGTACACTTTAGTTTACACGAGATGTAATTAGGCCGTTGAACTTAATTTTAACGTACCAAACATTCAGTACATTACCATCAAAGGAAAGAACCACTTCTAACTTAACTTTCTGTACTTTTTACTTTAATTTAATAATTTTTTACTACTACTATCTTTTTTCCACTCAACAACTTTACCATAAATATGCATATTATAACTATAAATATACAAATCAATCATTTAAATTACAACCATAACACACCTTCTTAATGGTCCTTCCAGCCGGATTTTTTCGAAACTTTAAAACCTATTTTTCAAAATTTTGTAATTATGTATGATTATAATATTGATATGTAGGATAAAAATATCTGACCTACACCCAAAATCAAAATCAGTTCGCATTGTGGCGGTGATTAATATTTTTTTTTTAAACAAACGCAATCATGTAAGATCATTATGCAATATTTTTAAAGCTTTCAATCGTCGTGTTATATTATTTAATGTTCTCTTTATGTTATTTTTTTACATGGTAGAGCCATGCTGCAGCTATATTAGTAGTATAGTTGTAGCACGAATGGGTCGGCTCGACCGGGGAAGGACCACGCTCTCACAGAATACCAGCGTAAAATGGCAGCTTGATGCTGCTGTGTTTCGTATGGTGACTGTAGAGAACCGAAGACCCTTTTTACTGGAACAGAGGCCTTCTATCTTAGTCCTCACGGGTGACAACACATCTGCATTTTAATTAGCAAACGATGATAGACGTAGATGTCTATGGGCCACAGCAACCACTTACCATCAGGTGGACTGTGTGCTCGTTTGTCACCCTTATTTTATAAAAAAGAAAATATTTCCCATGATCGAGTGCTTTGCCGGTATATAAGTTTAAATACAACGCGATTGAATCCATCATACTGATTAAGTTCAATAATTTCTACTGACCTACAATAGTTCCAGGCCTATATTGCTTTGCAGTTGTCAGCATTACACTCTGTTGACTGTATACCGTGTAATCTACAAATGAGAAAAAGATTAAAGTTTTCGTTTTATGAAAAGAAAAGATGTCATAAAGTCCCGGTTTATGTTTAATATGCATACATAAACTGCTTAGGTTTAGCCTAAAGACTAGGTGTAGGCTGATTGCGGTTGGTTAAATTTAGGCTGTATTCGATTTATTCGTGGTACGGGTAAAAGACTGGTAAAGTCAGATTAAATTATGTAATGTGTTTAAATTTGATTATATTTTAAAAATCAGTTTTACATATATGAAGTGTCCATGAACAAACATCCATATCTGGAAAAGTTACTCGTAAGCCATACAATACTTTCCGCGTGGTATTCGAATTCTCGGCCTCGCTGCAAAGCAGGCAAGCGTTACCGAGCCGTCAACTATTTTTTTTTACATTCAGATTTCCTAGTACATAGCATACGGTAAACATTTATTTCCTATTTTGTTATTCTGCTGTACTAAGTTTTGTTATAATAATGCATTAAAATATTTCAGCACCTCTGTTTGACGCATATCAAGAAAATCTTCAAGAAAAAGACAATCTTATTTTAGATTATGAAAAGCAATTTGAGAATATAAACAAGAAGTCCAAACAAGTAATTAGTGAGAATAAATCTTTGAGCGACAAAGTCGAGGCTTTAGAAAACGAGCTGCAGCATGTGAGACAGAGCTATAAGAGAATCATAGTGGAGAAAGAAACGACAGATATTGAAAATTCGACTTTGACCGAAAGGGCAGAGCGAGCAGAGTCAAAGTTAAAAGAAGTATATGAGTTGTATGAAGATAAAAGTAAGTGGAATTGAACTATGGTATCTGAAACTAATTTTACATAAATTACATGTGCTAATAAAAATACAGTTTAATAAATTGTGACGTTCTTGTAACAACTTAGTTTTTTAAATTTAGTCGCTCATTTAATCTGCTTGAGCATATTTCTCTATATTCTGTTTTATCGGTCCCTAAAAGTCCACTTCTGGACATGGGCCGCTCCCATAGTGGTGAAGGTTTGCCTTAGTCGTAACACTTCGCAGACGGATGGAACAACGTTTTAGAAAAAACATTGACGATGACTAATCACCTTTGACATTGTTGCACGTCATTACTCTGAGTGTTTTACGCCTGGCGTAAAAGAGATGATTATACCGCCATCTGTTGGAAGCCATGAGATTTTCCTGACATTTCTCATTGTCACCTCTTATGTGACCCACGTGACAAAATAGTAATAATTTATGTCTGTAATCACTGAATTTTATCTTACAGGTATCATAAAAACAACTATATAATTTACGGAAAATATTCTTATTTTTTTGTTATTCCGTATACCATCACCGTTACAGCCTATCTAAAAAGTCCATTGCTGAACATAGGCCTTCCCAATAAATATTTTTTTTTAATTCAATATTGATTATAAGTAATTCTTATGGAGTCATTTTTTTTTACTTTACCACTCCTTCGAAAAATCCTTTGTCCTGGGAAGAACCAGCAAGAAACCCAGCGGGACGTTTTTTAAAATAAATTTTACAATATAAATGATTACAAACTATTTACAAAATTTGTTTTAGAAACAGTTTGGAAACTACCACCTCATTCCCAGGGTTTATTATCAACCATGTATTAAATTATATTTAAAATAACTCTTTTTATACAGCTTTTGTTTAATTAAATATTTAAACTTGGTAATAGAAAATACCTTGTATATTTGCTGGGACTTTGTTGTAATAGCGAATACATTGGCCCAAGAATGAAATACTGATACTGTCTCTGGTAGAAGATGCTACTGCCCCTGCCAGACGCGACGATTACGGCGAAATCTCTCTACTCTAGGACGTCTACCAGAGTAGACTGGTTAAGATTGATTTTCCTTGTTTAAATTTAATGTTATGTTAAGTATATACATACATATATTGTACCTAGTGCGTAATTGTTTGCTTTTAAGTTACTTTTCGTTTGAAATTATAATAAATATATTAAAAGCATTTTGGATAATATTTTTCAGTAGCAGCAATGATGCGCGACTACGAAACGGTCCATCGTGAGTACTTCGCCGTGAAAAATGCTCTGGAAGCTTCTGCTGGGAAGATATCGCAACTGGATGCGATGCGTGCCAGGACTGTACCAGCAGATTTGCATGAACGAAGATTGGACCATTGCAAACGGTAAAGTTCCATCATCCCATCGCCTAACCAAAGGATGACCTTTAGATGATGGAAAACACAGAGGCAGTCCATAAGGACTGCCGACAGAAGTGAAAACTTAATGATATATGTGTATACATGGGTCGACATGTCAAGGTCATGGGTGACGCGAACACAACAAAAATCGCTCAACGCAGCTAAAAAAGTTTCACTTTGAATTGACTTCGACATTATTGTTCGTTGTCCAGAATTGAACTGTTACCGACTCAAACACAAGACACACTTGACACATATATTACTTATTCTAAATCTTTTCTCCAAATTTGGCCGGTTATTGAAAAATGACCCTGTATTTTTGGCCGATTAAAGGAGTAGCTTATTGACATAGTTCATTTACGTTGACCCTTTTAGCCGACTAGAAATAATAAACATTGCAATTTTTTGTACCTACGTATTATAATTAAATAGAGATCGAAAATTTATATTTTGATATTTTAACTGGCATGAAAATGATTTCACCCATAATATTTCCATAGCGATTCTCACCTCTAAGTAATCGTGGACTGTAGTATCAAATGGGTCTAAAGTCATAATATGACGGTTCGTTTACAGGCGGTAACATCTCATAGTTATTCTATTTCACGATGAAGGTTTCGCCTTGATTGTAGTAGAGACGTGTACCGACGGGCGCGTTTGTGTGTGTAACTGCAGCGATTCGTACGACTCGCGATCTGACCTGATCTCGCTACTGAGCGCTCCCGAGGCATACGCACACTAACACAATGTGTATGTGCACGACTAACAACAACCTAAGTCAAACCTTCATCATGAAATAGAATAACTATAACCTCCCTAGCAGGCATTTCTTTAATTAAACATAATGAAACAATACTAAAGTTATAAAATACTTTAAATGCCCTGAAATAAATTAGAATGGACGTGGAATAACGGAAACAGACAGCAATGAAAGATAACATCGCGAGGAAACCTGCATGTCTGAAATATAAACTATCTTGAGGACCTATAAATACCGTTAACATACACTGGAACAGTGTGGCGGGATGAACGATCCGTGGTTCACTCAGAAATGAGTGGAGGATTGTACCCAACAATATATAGGCTGTAACTTTCTTTACGAATCATGTATACACGCACGCACGTACATGCACACATGCACGCACACACACGCATTCATCCACTAACGCTAACTTTTGTTAAGCTAAGTCAGTGATCTTTACAATCTTCGGGTGCATAACTACTTACAATTAGATGATCCCATTCCAATAGTTAAGCATTTGCTTAGAATACACGTATCCCTTTTAATTTAATATTGTATTATTTCAACGACAATGCTTTAAAGTACTGAGACGGAACTGGTACCTGATACACAGCCAACGTTACTTCAGAAATATGAGGGCCGCAATGATTTATTTATGTTACATATTATTTACAATAAACTATCTTTACTCTTATTGTTCTTAATTAATTCCATATTCGACTTGTACTGTGACCCTGAGAGTATTACTGCACTTCAGGTTATTAGAAGAGCTAAAACATCAGTACTCGATGGAAAACGAACGGAAGACGGAACAATTAAAGAAGCTACAAGAAGATTTTAGGAGCACACAGGAGAAGTATAATAAGATTTGTCAAGAGCACGAGGCTGTAAAGGAAGAGTTGAGGACCGCATTAAAAAATGTCAAGTAATTTGTAACCTTAGTAATTAATTATTGTTATTTTTTATCGCATTGGCTTAGTTTTGGCTACCAAGGCCTTTAGCCAAAGATCACATTAAATATGTTAAAATGAATTAGCTTTCTAAGTATATATTAGCTAAGATCTGAGATAAGATCTTAGCTAGTTTTAAAAACATTGTCTAATTTTAGGCTTATATATTTTCTCCCCGTTCTGACGTCATGTAGCATAGTCACGGAGTGGTGGTGGCAATTAAGAATACGTCACTCCATCTCATTCATGGGCATCGTAAGGCAGCTAAGGAAAACTATAAAAATCTGGTAATCTCCTATAAATGGTTTTTGTATTTCTCCCAGACGTGAGTTACCTAGACAGATGTCGAGATCGCGATTGCTAATCCGTCTGGTATTATTCATTCATTCATTCATTCATTCATCGGTCTCCCCATAGATTGCCTCATAAGGAGGATATTTCAATATTTACCACGCTTGGCAGGCGGGTTGGTATCTGGTCAAGTGTAATAATTACGGCAAATCCTTCACTAAGGAAGCCTCTTACCTCCAGCTCTGTGGCTGTTAACAGAATGTTAAAATTTATAAGAAGATTTGTTTACGTGGTAGAGCCACAGTTAGACAGGGTGGGGCAGAATGCAGTCCCTAATTTGAAGGGTGAATTGAAACAAACGCTTTAAGATACATAAAAAGGTTTTTATTGTTCAAAAGTACACATAATACCTTTTTTAAAGATTTTCGAAAATCAATATCGTCTAAGTGGAGGCCTTGGTGAGCAATACACATATTGAGCCTTTAAAAGAAGTTTTCGGCCACTCTTCCCAGCATATCTTGAGGAATTCCAGCGATGATGTCCACAATCGCCTCCTTTAGAGTTTCAAGGGTACGAGGACGAAGTTTGACCTCAGCGTTGACGTATGAAATTTCGCGTGAACGGCCGTGGCTCTATCTTGTTGAAGCCAGAAGGCTTCTGTGTCGTGTTCCTTGCCATACTTTTCCATTTTGGGGCATAGAAAGTTCTTCAATATTTCAAAATAGCGATTTGAAGTCACGGTAACGATAAATCCTTCAGGATTAAAAAAAAATAAGGCTCAATAATGCCTATAGAGGACACAGGCCATCAAACTGTTACTTTGGGGCTGGGAAGAGGTCTTTGATGCAGTTCACGAGAGTTATCAGATGCCCAATAACGAAAATTTTGTTCACTGTGCCACAAAGATGAAAATGCGCTTCGTCGCTAGCCCACAAAATAGCACCGCAGTTAGGATTGCATTACAAGCATCTCTACGTTTTACAAAATCGTGCGGGTTCAATTCCTATGTAAGCATCATCTTGTAGGGGTGCAGGTGAGGGTCTAAGTGTAAGATTCGCCTTACAGTTAACATAAACATAAACACTCACGTCTGTCACCCAGAGGGGTAGGCAGAGACTACGGACTTCCATTTGGCGCGATCTTGACACACCTCTCTCGCCTCTTTTACATCCATATATCTACGCATACACGCTCGTCGGTTAAGGGTACTCCTAATCTGGCCCATTTTTAATGTATCGCCGATTTGGTCGATAAACCTTTCAACTAGGGCGTTCCTTCCCGACCCTGCCGTTCAATTCTGTAACATAAATTTGCTTTGTCACTCTTTCCTCGTTCATTCTTTCTACATGACCAAACCACCGAAGCATTCCTTTCTTAATCCTTGTCACAACGTCATCTTGCAAACCACACTTCTGTCTTATCACACTATTTCTCACCCTGTCATTCAGATTCAGCCCTAGCATACTCCTTAAGGACCGCATTTCTACAGCATTTATTCTACTCTCATGCTTCTTCTGCCACACCCAACTTTCACTACCATACATTAAAGTAGGGACTAACACAGCATTATGAATTGCCATACGTGCCTTAGTTGACACATTCTGACTCCTCATAATAGCGTGTAGAGCCCCATTCACTCTATTTCCTGCGTTCACTCGTTCTATATCCTTGTCATATCTACCATCCCTGCTAAATAAACATCCCAAATATACAAACTCATCCACTTGCTCAATCAACTCCCCTTCTATTCTTATTTCACATAAAGTTTTACTTTTTTCTCTTTCAAAAACCATCACTTTCGTGTTACTTGCGTTCACTTTCATACCCCTTTCTTTCAATGACCAATTCATTAAAGTAACCATCATTTGCAACTCGGCCGCCGACGATGCAAATATGACTTGATCATCGGCGTACAAAAGGCATTTGACGGTTGACTCACCCATTCTCAACCCACATTCTTCAACTTTCAAAGTTTGCAAACAACTGTCCATAAATAGGTTAAACAGCCACGGGGAAGCCACACATCCCTGTCTGACACCTTTATGAACGCCAAACCAGTCCGAGTAGACCCCTTTGATCCTGACACAAGCACTAGAGTCCCTATAAAGAGACCTTAATGCATGTATCAAGCCAGCGCTCAACCCAAATGAGTTCAGTGTTTGCCATAACACATTCCTGTCCACTCTGTCATAAGCCTTTTCCAAGTCCATGAACGCACAAAAAACTTTCTGGTTTTTGGCCAAAAACTTCTCCGCTATCATGCGCATGGAAAAGACTTGATCCGTACACCCCATTCCCTTTCTAAATCCAGCTTGCACATCCCAAATTTTTCCATCAGTTTCTTCCATAACTCTTTCAATTAACACCTTAGCATACATTTACAGTCCTGCTGCGACCCCTTTCCCTTATATATTGGGACTAAAACGGCTTTGCACCAGTCTTCCGGTACCCGCTTCAGATCCCAACACAAATTAAATAAGGTGTACAGCAGGCCTGCAACCTGCCTTACAGTTCTGGACGATATTACGAAAACATGCCGCTACGGCATGTTTTCGCGCAGATCGGGTTGGAGACTCTTCAATTGACGCTCTTACTGCCGCCATGTTTTCAGGTGTTCGCACACTTTTAGGTCGCTCAACTGGTATTTTAAGAACTGCATATCCTGTCGCCCTTACATTACAAATACTTTTTCGAATGGTTTGGGATCAGGAATACTATCACTACGATTTAATTACCGAACCGGATCCGAAAAGTCCCTTTGCGTAGCCATAACGCCTTCCCCGTTTTTAAAGAACGTCTCTACAAATCCCGATGCTCACTTCACCACGGCTTGGCGACTACGGTTTTGTTCAATACCGTTACCGTTGTTAGCGGCACCAGCCCCGCCTCTACTCGATCTGGGAGCCCTTCAGGGATTTTTGAATCTAGGGATTACATTCTGCCCCACCCTTTATTATGATTGTAGCACGAATTGGTTGGCTCGACCGGGGTAGGACCACGCTCTCACAAAATATCAGCGTAAAATAGTTTAATTCTGCTTTGTTCGTATGGTGAGTGTAGAGAACTGGAGACTCGTTTTACTGGAAACGAGGCATTCCAACATAGTCCTAGAATATTAATAGAGAGTAAATGTAGATATATATTGGTCACGGCATCCACTTACCATCACGTGGACTTTGTGCTCGTTTGTCACCCTTATACGATTAAAGAAGAAGGCTTAAAAATTCGCTCCCCTCTCGTATCAGATTGTACCGCCGGGCCGCTGTAATATTCCGACACCGAGCCCGCACGGCTGCGGCCACAGCCACCCGCGTGCGTCGCTCTGTACGCACCAAGCGTACAAACAACGAGCCGTTACGGCACGCGCTGTACGCACTCGACAGGATCAAGAATGAGATAAAGGTGCGACAAACTACTTATAGTTACTGTTTAGGCCAAATATTAACATTTAAAACTTGCATTCAAAACGCTCGGTCGCCTGACGTGTAGGCGAAGAACTGGTTTGACGGCTTGGGCCGGCGAGACTTGTATGCCCGCGGCGGCCATGTGCTGACGGGTCTGGAAGTTACGCTCGAATCGTTCGGTCGCGTGACGGACGCCTCTGACTGCGTTGTCTTTTTCGTGCGTTTACGTGACAACGAGGCTTTTCTTGAGTTTTGAGTGATTAACTTAACTTCGATTGCCATTAATTTGCGTCGACGTTGCTTGTGTGGCATTTTAATATCGTACGAAAACATTTTTCCCTTGTCAGTAGAACGCTAAAAATTTGTGACCCGAGAGGAGCTCGCGTTCCTTTTATGCTAAGTGAACATGGAACATTGAACATTGACAGACAGTTCTTAAGTTGTGCAGTGTGTCACTTGTTTTTAAGTTCGATTAACGTTGATTTAGTTAAATTTGAAGTGAATTAAATATTTAATAATATTGATAAACTAATATAGTGAAATAAAAGCAGAAATTCATAAAGGTGAACGCCCACTGGAGTGATTGCACATTGTGATTCCACTGCAGTGATTGTTGATTTTATCGCGTATATTAACTTATTTTATATTCCAGACGTTTCGAACACTTTACACATGAAGCAAATACAAAGAGGAGGTGTTGTAATTAGATTTCACTATGTAAAAACGCGTGACAATTTGCGGGGGAGGGGATGTAAAGCCCCGCCCACTTTACACTATCTACATCTACCGATAAATAGTAAAACTACTCGAATCGTTCCATATCGATGTTGCAATGTAGTTTAGCTACCTTGACTATAGATGGCGGTATGGTCACAAAATGATTATAAAACTATAAAAATAATATGTTGGCGATTAAAAATTCTTTGGGACTGAATGCAAAACAAATTTCAGCACCTTCGTATGATTATTTTACCAATACTGAGCTCTACGTATCTTTATATTTTAGTTCACATGACACAAAGTGTCGCCATCTAGTGTCAAAGAGATTTTTCTAGAACTATTTTAATAAGCTAGGTGTAAAATTACTTACAAATGAAATGTGATGCCATCCATAGCATCAGAGCGTCTATCAGAGTACTTTTTACACGATAAAATGCAACACTTCATCCTTTTCTTCTTAATACTACGAAAATACACCGATTTGCGATTTTCAACACATAAGCGCACAGGACGAATGCTGACAGTATACTAACTAAAGCCACGCCCACTATGATGGCGTCAGGACCTACTTAGAATCACAGTGCACAGTTGCTTATGCCGTCTCCTCTTTGTATTTGATTCATGACTTTACAGCACCCTGGGGTGACGTCACGGTGAGGTGTTCGATGCCCCAATGTCTTAGTTAAGCACGGCTACCTTCAGATAAAATTTCAAATTCAATCAAATTTAAATTTAAATAAGATAGCCTCGCCTCAACAAACATCCTAATATCAATAGAAAAGATGACTAGGTACTACCATATGCTTGGGATCCTATAATTAATAAAATTAAATTTCAGCCCAAGCATACAACTGTAATACTTCAAGAACTTAAGATCATACTGCGAAGATCGGACCAAATATAATTTTTATGCCATGGGGACGTTAAACACCTCAGTACCCCTATGTGACCCTACGTGATGGGTGCTGTAAAGTGCTCGAAACGTCGGGAATATAAAATCAGTTAATATACGCGATGAAATCCGTAAAAACTATGTTTTATTTAAATGAGTAGTGTTCTTTTTTTTATAGGAGAGAGGGCAAACGAGCATGCGGCTCACCTGATGGTAAGTGACTACCGCCGCCCATGAACAACAGATGCGTTGCCGGCCTTTTAAAAAGGAGTAGGCTCTTTTCTTGAAGGTCCCTAAGTCGTATCGGTCCTGAAAAATCGCTGGTAATCGATTCCACAAGGAAGTCGTGCGAGGAAGAAAACATCTTCTAAATCGCACAGTGGTGGACCGCCAATCATCCAGATGGTGTGGATGGTATCGGGAGTTCTGCCGCGATGTGCGTTCGTGAAATTTGGCGGCTTGGATTAATCTGAACAATTCCTCAGAGCACTCCCCGTGGTAGATGCGAAATAAAATGCAAAGGGATGCAATATCTCTCCGCAGTGCCAATGAATCGAGCCCATCGGAAAGGACGCGGTCGTCGACGATTCGAGCCGCTCTGCGCTGGATGCGGTCAAGTGGAAGGAGCTGGCACTGGGGAGCCCCTGCCCAGAGATGGGAACAGTATTCCATGTGAGGCCGAACCTGCGCCTTGTAAAGTTGCAGGCGGTGAGCCGGCATGAAATACTGTCCCGCTCTGCTGAGGACGCCAAGCTTTTTAGAGGTCAATTTGACCTTCTCTTCCAAGTGATCACGAAACTGCACGTCACTCGATATGTCGACTCCGAGGATTCCGATACTGGCTGAGGCAAGAAGGGGAGTGCCTTGAAACTGAGGAGATACGACAAAGGGGTTGGTTCGCGTAAACATAGGAAATTATTACATATTCAGTATCTAATCTAAATATTGCCTCAACGTGTCGACTTGACCGGGGATGGACAACGCTCTCATAGAATACCAACGCAAGATAGCAGCATAAATTAGTTATACCGAAACTTAATAGTAATGAAGTATCATTCTCCACTGAAGTTAAGTATTTAGGCATAACAATCGACCAAAAACTAACTAAGATCTCTCACCTTCGTATGTGTTTACGCCCGAACGCTGATTTCGGGATTGACGTCAGAGGGCGCTCGGCTCGGCGCCATACCGGTTTTGACGTTCGGTCGAGCGATGTGTCGAAGGCGCGCGGGTGCACGAGTCGTCTGCCAGCTGTGCTAACGTCAGCACGCTGTCAATTTTTGTGCGGGAACCGCGGAATAGTTTAGGCGTCTAGTAAATATACTGTCTAGGATTTGTAACGCGCATTCCTTGTTGGATAGCCTTTCCCGGGACTTATTGTGTCCGACTCAGAATCTGTATACGTGCATTCGACATTATTAGTGCGGCCTTTGATATTCTAGAAATAACTGTTGCCACGCGAAACGGTAGTGACCTTTGATCCGGACACTCCGTGTTCGTTTTGTGTGTTAAGCTTTATAACAAACGAGAGTTAGTGGCTTCTGTAAGTTAGTTAATCGTACGATAGAGTTAATGGACTGTCATCGTGACGAACGAAGAAAGTGACTGTGGACGGCGCCGCGGAAGATTACCTCAATTTGGAGCGGTGCTGACGTCCGGGCTGCTGCCGACGGCAAAGGTCTAATAAGGTCAATCACCACCAGTCACACCCAGATACACATCACAGCACCTTATTTCCCTTGCACCACACAACCACATGCGACCTGACCGGATCCTGAGGGACCAGTCGCCTTGGATATAGGTAAGCAAGCTCCGTTTAATATTCTCCCTGTTGACTGGCAGTAGTATAGAACGCTCCCCCTTATTGTTTATTGTAATTAGAGAAATTCCACGCGGCCATATTGAGGCCCGACCTACGTCTGTTCGTTGAAACTCTGCTGAATGGGCCCCAGAGGATTTGAGCTTTTGGAGGAGCAGCCGTAGGCCGTAACAGTATGTCATGAGGCTAAAACTGCCTTTGGTACGTGCAGTCGTATGGTTGGGAACAACTGGGGCTTGCGTCCCAGTATGATGGCTGTACGTACGTAGGCCGTAACAAACTGGTAGCAGAGCGTGATTCCGGGTTCGATTCCCCGGTCGATCCCGACCATAGTGTTTGATAAAAATTAAACAACTTTGGTGGCAGGAAGCGTTTGTTTGATTGGTTTAATTTGTGTCTACAATCACGCCCGGCCGTAATACGTAAAATTAAAATTCTTTTCCTTTGTTGCTTTGTTGCTTGCCTTTTTTTGTTGTTAGTGGGTAGTTGCGATTGCCACGCCCTAGGTTGCGCAAGCGGGAGTTTTTCTAGAGGTATACGTCATGTAGGTAGATGGTTATTATCACGTAATCGGTTAATTATCGTTGTCGGATAGTTGTAGTGGATTGCTTATTGAAGGGTCGATTTCCGAGCTAGGCATTTTTGTTGATCGGCCGTGATGTGTATCTTATTTGTATTGTAATTTGTATTTGAACTAAAGAGCAGTAATTTGTATTTGCGCAATTTGAATTTAACTTGATTTGATCGCACTAGTATTTGTTAATTTGATTTGGGTCTTTTTTTTGTGCTAAATTGTATTTGGTTTGATAAGTAGTAATTCGTATTTGTGTAATTTCTATTCAACTCGATTTGATAGGAACTGCATTTGTTAACTGTTAATTTTTTGTTGTATTTGTTATTTGTTATCTTTGTAGTTTGTGCTCGAGCCGCGTCGTAATTTGTATTTAGTAGTGATGTCATCGCCCAAGCTACTAATCCGTTGCCTGCGGACTGAGTTACGCTGGGCCACAAGCGCCCATGCTTTGATAGGTCGACCGGATAGGGTCCATAACTTGATGAAGCGGTTCAAGCAGGTGGATGCTCGAAGGGCCGCAGTGGAGGAGGCTTACGCTGAGCTCAAGGATTCGGATGTGGAAAAGGGAGTCCTGGACTCCTGCTTCGCGGACTACGAGCAGTTCTTTTCGCTCACGGACGAGTTGATCGAGGCTGAAGGCAGGTATGCCGAGGAGGCGCGCGAAGCTCGGATGAGTGGCCTGCCCGAGTCCTCTCGCAAGCAGCTTCAGCCGGAGCTGTTGGGACGACTCCCAACTCTGGACCGCCAAGGTTCTCCGGGGTCCTTTCCGAATGGCTGACCTTCGTTGGTCTTTTCGACAGCCTAGTGGACGCCCGGAGTGACTTGACCCCGAGCCAAAAGATGGCGTACCTCCTGGCCTCACTGGAGGGGGAATCCCCGGGGCGTCGTCGGCCACTTGAGATTGTCGGACGACGACTACCAGACTGCTCGGGACCTCCTAGCCAGAAGATACACCAACGTCCGGCGAATTGCGGACGAACATGTTAAGCAGCT